AGAGAGAGATTGATTTCAGAAAGAAATTGTGCACAGAGCAAAAAAAAAAAACCCACATATGCAAACCAAAATCTGACCGGCATTTCAAGTTTCTATTTTTGTTAATTCTCCACAATCTACTCACCCTCGTATAGCACCTCAACAACTGAGGAGCCTTAGAACAAAGCCACAAGGGTCAGGAGTAAATAAAGCCAGTGTCTAATGCCTGAGAAGACAGGAAGATGGGTAAGAAGACAGGAAAAAGAGTTATTGAAGATTTTGAATGAGATGGGCAGCAAATGCGAGAAAGACAGCCCCCTCCCCATTGTAGCGAAGACCTCGGCCTCCGCTGGCTCCCTCACTGAGAATATGTAACTGCAGGCCCCTCATCTCTCTGAGCCCCACTTCATGCTTGTCTCTGGTTTTCCCTCCACTTCTCAAAACATTTAAGCTGTATGGGAGTGAGTGACAACACATTACATGAGATCTACATGCTTAAATGTTAAGTATCTATACTACCTTATTGTTAATATTAGTATAAATGCCTTTTTTAATCTCAAGACGTCAGTTATCTCAATACTGCAGTTAATCAGTTTGCAATCATCCAAACAACATATAGAAAACAAAACCATCAGAGCCCTGCAAGATTTACTAAAAGGGAAATGAGAATGACTTCTTAAAAGCTACTTCCTAAACCAGATTCAATGGCTTAAAGGGCCAAGGAACCCACAGTCTTGTATCAAATAACAGATGTGCATTTACTTGGGGGCTCATACCATCTAAACCAAGCCTGACCAGAAATAATTTGAGCACAGAAACAGCAGGGGGGAAAAAACCACCTTTCTTTTGCCCAGGAAACTGAGACCATGTTCCCTTCTTGCATATATTTTAAGATAGACAGAATAATCAAGACTGCAAAATTACCACAATCATATTTCACAAATCATATTCACCATCATCTTATGTGTTTGTACTTCTCATAAAAACTTGACCTCAGTACAATCTTATTTCCACCCCCAAATACTCCGAAAATGCCTTGTCCTCCAAACTTGCATCCTCTATGTTGATGTAAAGAGTCTTCTCTCTCAGCAACACTTACCACATCTAACTTTGCTTTAATCATCACTTTCCACCTGAGGTATTACAATCCATTCTACCTTCCTGGCAGCCTCCTAACATGCTAATCTAGTTGACCTTTTCATAACCACTTAATAGTTCTCTCTGATGCAGGGTTTGAGTGCAATGGAATCTCTGTCAGCTCAACTGTGTCTGACCTAAGTATGTAGGATGCCAGATACTCACAGTTATCAAAGATTGGCCTGACAGGGGCTGCAAAGATGGCTCAGAGGTTAAGAACACGTGCTGCTCTTCCAGAGGTCCTGAGTTCAATTCCCAGCAACCACATAGTGGCTCACAACCATCTATAATGAGATCTGGTGCCCTCTTCTGTCCTGCATGCATAGGCAGAACATTGTATACATAATAAATAAATCCTAAAAAAAAAAAAAAAAGATTGGCTTGAACCAGTGACTCCCACATCCATGATTAAGGACATGGACACCTGAGGAAGAAAGAAACACAGAAGCAACTTCTAAAGATATAACGATAAGTGAGAAACTAAGGGAAAGTGAGAAATTAAGGAGAAAGTCATTGAACTTCCTCGTTTGGGGATTTTTAGAAATTTAACAGTTGGCCTGTCCAATTCAAGTACCGAAACCTGTTTGATTGGACCATCCACCTTGGGATAACCACAGCACTCCCCCACATAGCATAGCACTTACTTGGTACCCAGCATCCAGAAGCAGAGGGGATGCTAAACACTGAGCAATTTGAGAATATACCTATAAGTTAGTCACTGTTATAAATACAGTACCTAAAACAACAGTGCTTGATAAAACCATGTTGAGTTGAATGAATGAATGACCAATGGCAAATGATTTAATTTCTTGAAATCACAGTCTGGCTGGTTCCATGAGCTTTATTCCTCAAAGCTGAAATGGCCACATTCTCCAAACATCTTAGGAACTAGGACAATTTCCAGAGTAATGAAATCCAGGTGTTGTAACATGAATCTTAAAAGGTCTTATTAAGTAGCCTCCCTGGAGTTTTGAGTAGCAGTCTAGTCATCTTTGTTTCACATCTAGTATCCTCCTATGAGTGAGTACATACCATGTTTGTCTTTCTGAGTCTGGGTTACCTCACTCAAGATCATTTTTTTTCCAGACCCATCCATTTGCCTCCAAATCTCATGATGTCATTGTTTTTCTCTGCTGAGTAGTATTCCATTGTGTATATGTACCACATTTTATTTATCCTTTCTTCAGTTGAAGGGCATCTAGGTTGTTTCCAGGTTCTGGCTATTACAAACAATGCTGCTATGAACATAGCTGAGCAAGTGCCCTTGTGGTATGATTGAGCATTCCAAGAAAGACACAGGGTTCGCCCAGTGACAGAGAAATGGATGAGATTTACATGAACAGCCTGGACATGAGTGGGGTAATGAAGGGCAAGGGTCGAGGGAAAGAGAACTTAGGGGAGCGGGAGATCCCAGCTGGATCAAGAACAGAGAGGGAAAACAAGGAATAAGAGACCATGATAAATGAAGACCACATGAGAATAGGAAGAAGCAAAGTGCTAGAGAGGTCCACAGAAATCCACAAAGATACCTCCACAATAGACTACTGGCAATGGTTGAGAGAAAGCCCGAACTGACCTACTCTGGTGATGGGATGGCCAAATACCCTAATTGTCGTGCTAGAAACCTCATCCAATGACTGAGTGAACCGGATGCACAGATCCATGGCCAGGCCCCAGGTGGAGCTCCAGGAGTCCAATTGGCGAGAAAGAGGAGGGTTTGTATGAGCAAGAATTGTTGAGACCAAGATTGGAAAAAGCACAGGGACAAATAGCCAAACAAATGGAAACACATGGACTATGAAACAATAGCTGAGGAGCCCCCAACTGGATCAGGCCCTCTAGATAAGTGAGACAGTTGATTAGCTTAATATGTTTGGGAGGCATCCAGGCACTGGGACTGGGACCTGTTCTCAGTGCATGAGCTGTTTGGCTCAGCCTGGGAGGAGGGGACTGGACCTGCCTGGACTGAATCTACCACGTTGAACTCAATCCCTAGGGGAGTCTTTGCCCTGGAGGAGATGGGAATGTGGGGTGGGCTGAGGTGAAGGCTGGGGGGGGGGTGCAGTAGCAGGGAGAACAAGGGAATCTGTGGCTGATATGTAAAATTAAGTTAAATTATAAAATAAAAAAAAATAAAAAAGGTCTTATTAATAAAAAAAAAAAAAAAACACCCAGGCCCAGATATTGGGGTGAAAGCTGAAAGATCAGAGAAACAGAACAAGCCAGCCACATTCTTACCTCTATG